AGATAAAGAAAAAATTTAAATTTTGGGCCTTTTTATTTTAAATCTTTTGGGTTTGGCAAAGGGTAAAAGTTAAAATAATTCCGTTTTTTTTTTCCGGGCCGGTTTTGCCCTTTTATCGGATGAAAATATACGTCATTTTTGACGTCACTGCTGCAGCAGACGTGTTGGGTGTTTGGAAAAGGCAAGTGATCTCCTAACAATATTTTTTTAAAAAATTTTTTTGATTCATATTGTTTCAATATCATTTCATTATGGTGCGTATGAACTTTCTATATACCATTCATATTACTTCAATACTTGCATGCATTACGTAAACCTAACTTTTCGTGATCTGTAAGTAAGTTTGGATAAAATTTGTTTCTGAATGAATGTAAACATTACATGTTTAGGGTAAAGGCATTACTACTTTTTAAAACTTAATTTGTTTTCGTTTTGTTACGTACGGGATATGAAAGTGAAAGTAGAAACCTTGTATGTCAGTTGGCGTTATGTATTTTGAGATCGTTATCAAGCCCGGGATTTTCTTCAACTTAATGACAAATGTTTTTTTTTATGGCCTATAGATGCATTCGGCAACTTAAATTTCCCAGTGTCACAGTACTTTTTTTTTTCAGTCCAAAGAGACCGAAGCTGATAAGACTGGCAATTGATCCTGAAGCTGATTTGACAGATGATTGCATCATCACAATATTGAAGGTAAAAATAAATACTTGCAAAAAAAAATCAAAGTATCTGTAATGTCTCTTTATGACAAAATATTTCTTTATTATTTTTTTTTTTTTGTTCTTTCATAATTCTACATTGTTTGCATATGGCTTCATCAAAAATAAATTCAACTCAACTCAATACTCTAGAAATTTTATTCTACATTATAATTTAAATCCAGTGCACTTAAAAAATATGCAAAGTATGATTAGATTTTGCTGGCTGTAAAGGCTATGAAACTATATACTAGTAGTATACAATAATTTTTTGGGGGGGAGGGGGGGATAAATTTTTTTTTAATTTCAACTAAAAATTTATAACATGCTTTATAAATACATGTGCATGTATGTTGAAAGAATATCATCTAGCTAATCCATTGAATATTTACATTTTTTGTATTCATTGACTGACAATTTTTTTTTCCCCCCCCAAACACAAAGTGCCTATAGTTTCGGGTTAAATGTTAGATATATTTAAGACCATAGAGAACCTACAAAACTTTTCTCTCTTTAATAGTTTAAGTTTTAATTAAATGTATTCTTAGAAAGTATCTACTGTGTGAGACTATGAGTATTTGTCTTACAGGTTCAAAAAAGTCAGCCTTTTCATAAAATAAAAACAAATCCCAAAAACCCCAACCTTGTTTAAAAATTTGGGGGAAAATACAAGGGGAAAAAACTTTGTTATAGTCTTCCCAAAAGTTTGGGATATCTTGGAATCACAATGTCTGTTTTTCTGCCTGTCTACTTGTCTGTATGTTTTTTGTCCAAAAATAATATACATGTATTTGTATCAGAATCTTCTTCATTTTTTGACAATCTGAATTAATATATACTGTTTGAACATTCCAAATTTAATTGTCATAATAACAAAAAATTGTTTTTTTTATGATTTTATTATGAAGCATATCTTTCAATAGTGTAATTATTTTGCAAATTACATCATAGGATTCCTAAAAACACCTAGTATAACATATATAACGTTAGTTTTATCCTGTATCATATCTGTGTCAGTGAATTGGGCATACATTTGTTTGCTGATTATACCTAAGTAACTTTTATAACTCATAGAATTTAAGAATTTTTTTATTTTTACTTTTGAAATTTTTGTAAGACCTTTCTGTGCCACAAAGAAATTGTTCAGGAAGAGGAGAGGTGGGGGAATATTCTTTTTTGGTACGGTACAGTTAAAAAGAGATTTTCAAAATGGTCATGGAAGATCAAAAGGAGGACAACTGAAAAAATTGAAAGATACAGAAGGAAAAAGAACAAGGAAATATATGGAATAATTATGAAATGGGGAAGGATGTACACAATCTTTTCTGAATTTGAGCTGTGAAAATTTCCCATATTCTTATTGTATGCTGGAATAATCAATAACTTGATTTTTCATAAATTTACAATAGAGAATACTGTGGTTTCATCAATATTCGTTGAGCACCAATTTTCGTGGATTTCGTTGTTGAGCAGTACCAATTCAAATGTTCATTGAAATACGAAATATGACATTCATTTGTATTGACAATGCTTTTGTCCACGAAATTACGTATCCTCGAAAACGTCTGTTTTACAAAATCAACGAAAATTGATGCCAACGAAAATTGATGAAACCACAGTACATGACAAATGTTATTGCTGATATTTCAATTTTGCTTTGGACACTTTCATGTCATATGGTATTTTTATATATGAACTAATTATGTTATTCATTTGTACATGTACAGTATGCATGTTTAACTACTAAATCATTTTGCTGAAATCTTATGATTTGTACTAATCCTAGAATATGTTAAATACATGTATCGACAAATGCTACTGACTTGCTTGTATATTTTCTTGTTTAGAATGTACACTGTGAAAAATAAGTTATTTCTCTTGATGAAAATAATTTTATCAAAAAAGTTGTGTAAGCATTTTAAGATATTTTAAAATATTTAACCAATGAAGATAGATCATTGTAATGTAATGAATTTTCATCTAAAGCAGAAATATCTGATTTTTAAATGTGTACAAGAATGTGAAAAATATTGAGAAAGAACACACAAGTGTTTCATATGATTTACATATGATGTCCTTTTCATATGATTCTCATATGTAAATGGCTTGAAAAACACATAAGTGTTTCATATGATTTGCATATGACACCCTTCTCATATGATTCTCATATGTAAATGGCTTGAAACACACTTAAATCATTCATATGAAAATCATATGTAGTTATTTTCATATGATTCACATATGTGCATTATGTAAATCATATGATTTGCTTCATATGATTCACATATGATGCCCTCTATGATTCTCATATGAAACCAATCATATGAGAATCATATGATACTCATATGAGAATCATATGTGGCTAAGTTGCCTGTGTACCAATACACCACGGAACTGCTGTACTTTAACGCAAATTATATGCAAAGATGAAGACACATACATGTATATATTCACGTTCCATATTGTCAAAATTTTACACAATGCATGGTGTCTAATTTAACTTTCATTAAACAGTTCTAATAGATGTAATAAGAAGGTGAGAGAGGTCCTAGGGACATTTAGTATGAAATTACAATGCAAAAGCTCAAAATTCTCTTGAAATATCGCCGAAAACGATAGTGTTATACACAAACAGAATGTATATATATATATGACCTTGAACTTTAACATTTTTGACCTCAAAATAACTAGGGTCTTCCTTAAGCCACAGGGAGTTGTTTGTAAAATTCCATTGCAAATGCAAAAAGGGTTCTTGAGATATCTGCGGAAATAGAAGTGTTATATTAGACAGAATTTGCAAATTAATGACCTTTGACTTTTGACCTTTTGACCTCAAAATCAATAGGGTACTTCTTTACTCCATAGTGAGTTGCAATGCAAAATGTCATAGCGAAAGCCCAAAGGAATCTCGAGATATCGTGTGGAAACGAAAGCATTACAGACAGACAGAATGACGGACGGACAGACCCAAATTAATATCCCCCACTTTTCAAGCGGGGGACAAAAAAAACACGGGCCCTGGAAAAAAGAAATGATATCAGGTAGCTATGTTACAGACAAAAAACTTTATATGATAGATTTATTGTTTTTCCATTAACATAAAAATAGGTCTACTAATAGACTAAGAAAATAAGAAGACTTAGTCCTCAAAAAGTACATAGGCGCTGTTAATAAGGCACTCCAGCTTCCTTTAATATCAGCCTTATTGTACTTGTGTGCAGAATAAAAGTTATTATTATTTTTAACAAATCACAATATATGAAAATTCATTAGTTCCAATTTTTTCGTGATGCAGTTGTCTTTGATATCAAAAGGTTCATTTTTTGAATTCATCATTACAAATGATTGAACTTGTATATAGTGTAGAAAACTCAACCTTTAATATACAAATCCCAACTGATTTTTGAATAAAACAGTGATTCCAAAATCATCTTAAAATTCCATGAAAGTTTGAGAATCCCAATTGATTTACATAATCGTAAAACGGAGTACAGGTTATGAAACATTCTGTATAATGTATAAATATTTTTTTTCATTTCGGGCTATTATAAAATTGAATAACCAAAATCACCATTTTCTTACGGAAGTTGACAAATTCCAAAGTGTGTTATAGTTTTGTCTTATAAATAATATCTCTCCTGACACAACGGGGCTATAATAAAATTATAATATAAAATTTCCACAAGGTTGAGTGTGTTGGGATTTTTAATTTAAAAAGTATAAAAGTGACATTAAAAAACAAAACAAAAAAGAATTTGGTCTCAGAGGATGGCATCTCTTAACACTTTGCCCTTGGCGGAAGGAAGATTAAATTTACTTGTATTGCTGTTCTAGATAATATTAAATGGGAATCCTTAATTATGTGTATTTTTTCTTTATAGTGAGAGGGTTATACAAGACATATCACCGTTGGTGTTTGAGAGGTTCTGTCAAATAGTGGGAACCTCAGAACTAGTTACCATGAGAAGGGATTAAACTGATTTTTCTGAAATGGTAACTCCTTTATTTAATCCACAAGCCTATTGTTGTGTGATGTAGTGGAAGTCATAGAGAAGGCTTTAGACTGTGGATTCCATAGATTCTATGTTCTGGCCTAAAACCCATCGGGTAATTTGGAATTTATCCCAAAGCCAACTCTACAGCAGAAAAACACTGATTCTTTCTGACTGCTCTCAGAGTCCACCAGGAATTGCATTACTCCAACTGCTCCGTCCTGCCGTTACAATAATACCAATCGATTCGGTGTGTTTTACATTGCATGGCAAAGAATATATATCCAGTTCTGCATTTCGAAATAATATGTCGCCATTATCAGTGAGACCAAAATGCCATATCCATGGGCCCTGTAGTAGTGGAACTTTCCTAGATGTAGAATTTGACGATGCTCTCTGTTTTGCTAGTGATTTTTGGCCACCATCTGCCCTAGCATGGATCAATAGATGTCAATCGTGGCCAAGTCCTCACATAGTTGATGATATTGTCAGGAATGGGTGTCACTTTGCAGCAATAGGGCACAAGCTAGGAAATCATGAGGAAAATGAATGGAGAATTTTGTTCTCTCTTGCAGAGCAAAAGCTTGTATACACAATGAACCACATTCAGTTTCTTACGTATGGTTTACTCAAGCTAATTCTAAAAGAAGTCATCAAGGAAAGGATAGAAGAAAGTTTACTTTGCTCTTATCACATGAAAACAGCTGTATTTTGGGCTCTTCAGCAAAATTCAATACCTCATTGGTATCCACAGAATTTTTTGGAATGTTTCTGGGTCTGCTTTAAACTCCTTCTTAAATGGGTGTATGAAGGCGTATGCCCTAACTTTTTCATCCCAGAAAACAACATGTTTTTAACAAACATATTCGGTGAATCTCAGAGGAAGTTATTCCTGGAGTTACACGGACTGTATGAGAAAGGTATAGCATTACTACTACACAGTCAATCCATCAGATCAATAATTATAATTGGTCTCTGTAATCCTGGACTATGCATGTATAATTCTGAGGACGATGAAGAAATTGTGTTCAATTTGAATCTATTTATAGAACTAAGATCAAATAATCCTATGTTTATACCAACTCTGAACAGCTGGTTTGAGTTCCCAAAAATAATGGAAACTTTGATGAATGAAGAACCTACAAACTATCAAGTTCTGGGGTGCAATAATATCTCATGGTCAACAACCTCCAGAGCACAGCTTTTTTATTACATAGCAGGTGCGCTAACAAATGCGGAGAATAAGCTTTTGTATAAAACTGATAAAATATCGCGCTTCATGTTGAAACTGGTAGAAAAATTAGGGGTTTTTCTAATATCCTGTTCCTTGTAATGTATTATTACAAACTTTAAGATATATGAAAGCAATATCGGTTTTACAGAAGGCAAAAATTTATTTTTCACAACCATACATCATGCATTCGCATTACGTAAACAGTGAGAAAAAAAATTGAGGCATTTCGGGAACGGACTAGGGAAATAAAGATTAGTAAAGCTGTAGCACAGGATATAGTGCTCTATTCAAACATTTTTTATATCAATGAATTAATCTATAAACAAAGTCTAGTGACTTGCATGCAAATATCCCCATTTGCAATGTTACATATGTTAGAATTTTTTGTTACAGGCAATGTGACGAGCATCTTGCAGAAGTAGCCTTAAATGATTTACAGATCTATGTTAAGCACGGACCAATTCATCCATTTCTAAAGATATATGTTGGCAGATCTGAGGAATTTGTCAGCAGCTCAAGGGAGACCTTCCCAAAAACAGCCCTGTATTCATATCTACAATCACTTAGACAGTATCCCCTCAACGAGCTAGAAAACGTTACGCTGAGAAAAATACATGATATTTTGTGATCTATATTTCACGAACAACAAAGTGTTTCAGATTATAATTTAAGATTTTTATTAATTCCTACCGAACACGGGAGCTTAAAAAAATTAACAGCAGAAACACTGAAAAAATTCACACCTTGTAATTTCAATTACTCTTCATCTGTATATTTCACCTCCTTTATTTAATATTGCACGTTATGCATATTTAATCCAGCTATATTTCTTTAAATTTATAAGCTTTAAATGATTCTTTTAAGTTTATTTTTCTAGCTAAAGTATTGGAGAAAATCATTTTGTCTCAGTAAATTCAAACTTTATGTTGCCACAGAACGATGTTTAATTATAAATTATGTTGTATGTTATTGTCCAAGTCTTCGAAAGTATATGTAAATTTTAATTTTTACATGCTTTACAATCCATATTTTTACAATACTTTGTTATTGATCTTTATTCCGTAAAACAGATAACTCTTCCTGTCAACTGAATCGGTTTAATATTCTATTCTTTACTTTTTTCGGTTATTTAAAGTACATATTAAAGCTGACATGAACTCTTAAAAAGGCATCATTTTTAATCTTTGTACGACTTACTACATTCCTGTACGCCTTTGTCCGCCATATTTCTTTGATTTCGCCATATTTAATTGAATATTTTTTGGTCACCTGTACCTGCTATATAAAGCCTTTTACAACTGTTTCACTTGAGTGATTTTCTAGCCTAGCTGTTGACATGTACACATCTCCGATAGCATAGTTTTTATAAGTCCATAAACTGACCAAATACATGTTTGAAAAGTAAAAATTCAACGACAACTAAAACTATATCCGAGAATTAATTTTTTTTCAATGTTTTGCTGCAATATAGAAAATATGCTAACAGGGAAATTTAAATACATTCATTGCAAAACCCATCAGGTAAAAACCCGGTAAAGATGATAAAAACATTTACCTGAATAATGCTATGTTACAGGGATGTGCACATGTCGAAAGAATTATCCTATTTTACTTTTATTGAAAAATGCATCTCAGAAGTCATGTAATCCATTGCTAATTCAACAGTAAAAGATGATTGGACACACGTGGCCCAGGTCGATCATTTTAAATTTGGGCAGGGAAAATATCAAAGGTAAAATTCCTTGGGGTTGAAAAAAAAAATGCAAATAATTTTTTTCAAAAATTAACATTACTCTTGTCTGTAAATGTTGTGAATAAAATAATGAAAACATGGTTTAACTTCATCAAATATATAATAAAGCATGCATTTTTACGAATCATTCACCTTTTGAAGATATTTTCCTGGGATAGGAAGGGGGATGGAAAAAAACATGCATAACACTATCATAAAGATAATTTAAGAAAAAACGTTTGAAACAGATCGGATTTCTTTATGATAAAAAATTGTCAAATAAATACTGTGTATTGGCTTTATTAGACCTATATAATTTGATTTAAATTTAATATAATTTGATTTAAAGTTATTTATAATTTTATGCACTATAAAAGGAAAGTAAGCAAGTTCATACCCCACGCTCCCCCAAAGTTGAAGTGCTGAAATTCCCGGAAAAAAATAAAGGAATCGTAACTTTCTTGTAATATGTACAGGGTGTTTCACAATATATGTCGCATATCTAAAGACAGATCGATAAATGACATCAAAAGCTGCATACACATTTCATATATCATTTCAATCAGAATAATTCAAAATTGTTTTTTTTTTAGTCAGAAGTATTCAACAATCTCCACTTCAGTTGCTATGGCAACAAATCCTAAACTTTTTTATCTGTAAGTGTTTTGCCAACATTGTCCTATATAACTTAAGAAACTAATGTTTAGAAATTTCCGTAGGAACACTGCTTTCTAAATTTTCCAAGATACTTGAGAGTTTTCTTGTTTATATCTGGCTCTTTAGAACCCCCAAAGAACATGTATCTATTTTTGTTTAAAGTTGCATTTAAATAAATGTTTCGTTTCAGAACTAACAGTATGTGTTAACTGATGTCCACTTCTTTCGCTTTTCCTTTCAATCCATTTAGCAAACTTCGGATCTTTACATCAATTGGTCTTAAATGCTGAAATCTTATATGCTGATACACTTAACTCATTTCTAAGATTTCTAAATACACTTGATACATTTACCAGCATTGTAACAATCCATTTCCCTATACTTAGATCTAACTTTCATGAGTTATTCCCATTGATTGACTTCACTGTTGTATTGTTCTCATCTCTTTTTTATTTTATTTTCTTGGGGGGGGGGTTTAATTGTCTGTCATATGTACATTATAATTAGAATAAAACCCTCTAATTATTATTAATAAATGAAAAGTAGATAGCATGTTTTGGTCTGGATATTATTCATCAACATACCCTGTACAATATTTAGGATATTGTTCTTGTATAAAAGTTTACCAAAAATTTTTGTAGCAAACTGTACTCCATTTTGAGAACAGCTAAAAATATCCTATAACTCATTGAATCACCAGTTACTTCATGGTATATTATAATTTCACCAATACTTTGCAATATTATATTTTATATCTATATGCTTACATACAGTGTTTTGGTAATTTTTGTATCATGCTCGATATTCAGATTATGCCCCTTGTGATGTGTGACATACATTGAGAAACACCCTGTACAATCATCTATACGTATACGCATTGTGTCTTAAATATCTGCAAAGTTTGACGAAATTGTGTGCATTGGTTTATGAGGAGTTGCGCTGACAAATTGCTCATCTCTATATTCCAAGATATGGCCAAAATCTAAATGTAAAAGTGCGGAAAATCCCGAAAAATTAAAGAATTCGGAATTTCCTGGTGATGTGCAAATCTACACATTGTCAACTATAAATATCTACAAAGTTTAACAAAAT